TTCCCAGAATTTGCCCAAAACTCCCAAAATGATGCCGGTGAGAGACAGGTCTCAAGCCCAAACGGCGTTTCGGCTGCCTCGGCTGCCTCGTCTGCCTTGCCCGTAGGCTGTACTGCCAGGCCGCGATACGTCGTGTGCGAGTCTAGGGCAACCCACCCAGTGCTCCTGGATCAGCGACTGTCAATTTGCTCTGATTGTGGCCTCGCTATCTATTGGCGCAAAGAGCGGGTGTTGACAAAAAGCTAAGATCACCGCTGCCCCCTGCATATGCCCAGCCCAATTTTGACGTTGAAGGGTTCGCCAAACGCCATCTTCAGCCTCCAGATGACGACCGGCACCGTTTCAAACCGCTTGCCGGGAGCCCTTCGCGATCCTTTCATCAGGCCCGTCCGCGCCCATCCAACGAATAAAAATAGCAGATCGATGCTCGAATATGCCTTTCCTGGTCCGATCGTATTTCCATCCATGTTTGTTTACACGGTCCGTTCGGCTTTTCAGCTCTTTAGTTATTCCCACGCCCGTCCCGGCTGCTTGTGATGTCGGCTGCGTTCCCTTCGCAAGTGCTGATGCAACTGATGCTACTGGTGTTGCTGCTGCAGCGCATCAAATTTTCGACGACACCCAAGCCCTATCCTGCATGCCCGCATCCGCCCGTCCAAAGACACACATGCACAACACCGTACCAGCACAACCTACCAACGCCCTAGCCACGGCGACCTGCTTCTCTAAAACCTTCCGCCTTAAGCTTTCTGGTCGAGATGAAGCCACCACGCTGCACCGCATGACCACTTGCAGCGCGTTTGTGACGTCTTGCTGTCTTCCATGCATTGGGGCGGCCGCCAGCGTCTCCACTACCTCGCGCTCCACGCAGGGAACTTTCCAGCAATCGCATGCATGCAATTGAGATCCGGACGCCCTCAGCGCATGTACAAGTAAGATAGCCTGCGTTGGCACGATCTGGAGAGTGGCCCACTAAAGAGACCTTCTTTCAGGGACTCCACTCTCGACCTTGATTGGCATTTGGGCTGGCCACGATCCTGACCAGCATATTTTACTTTAACACCACGTTTTGCCCTTTCACTCCCGCCGTGACAGACCCCTTTACACTTTTTTTTTGTTTTCCGTCCGGGAAATCAGAACAAAAAGCAAAAGCGTCCAGAGCGTGAACTCCGCAAATCGCGTGAGATATCCGACCGTCAGAAACGATCTGTGGAGAAAACGAGCTACGGAAGCCGATCCTCACTGCGCTTGATGTTCCTTTTGGCGGGTGGTTCCTGTCCACAGTACCTAATGAAAACCAACCCGCAAATTGCGGTCGCGTTGCCTCTTTCAGCTACCACACACACACTGACATGTATCTCGCCCAAGACGCGCAAACTATGCTGTCCCAACCGCTGCATTCGACGGCCCGTCTCTCCACTCCCGCATCCATACAGCCCATGGAGACGGCCTTTCTGACCTCTCAAGCCTTTGCGGCTGCTATCGTGATTCCCTATCTAGCTTACCCTATTGGTCTCCTTGCTGACGCCTGTGGCTGGCTTACTTACGTCCGTTAATTGTCAACCAGCCGGCTCAGCACCTGCCAGCCCCTGACATGCCCACTTCCTCCCCTAAATCAAGCCTTGTGGCCGACCCAGGAGTCGATCTCTGGGATTTGCAATCCCAAAGTTTGCCTTCAGTGCCAACCTGTGGCTTGTATTTCCGATTAATTGCCAATTTGACTGCGAACAGGCTATCGCAATTTTTTGAGATGAGAGAAAATGGCTTGTATGCTGTGGCTGCTCCCCATATATTGGCGCTCGTAAATCGGATCTGGGTACGTTCCTGGTACCTGAACGCCATCCAATAGAATTCAGCGATGATTTTCTCGGGTGCGCCGAGGCACCTATGCCCACAATTCCGCAACAACATTCTGTTTCCAGAAAAGTACTCAGCCAGCCCTGTGACGACGACTTTTTTGTTCTGCCCAGGCCTCCACTATGGCTCCACTCGTCCCATTAGCCCAGCCAAAGACGACCGAGAAGCTGGCCGCTGGTGCTCGGCCTTGAAACGCGTCAGCAAAAAAAGAAGCGACCGCGTCTTTCCGCCCGGCGCTCCCGCTGGGCGTTCTTACAGAAGCTGAAACATTCTCAAAGAACAACACACCACCGTGGGGAAAAAAGTCCCACAGCTAAATGCTACGTCGAAAAAGCCGTAAGCGCTATTCTCTCAGCTTCTGGGCAGAACACATGGGAAAAAGCAATGCCATTGATCCAATTGCGCTCATCGCTGGGGGTAGGCGCACAGAGGTAGGTACGTAGTAATGCAGACAATGCTCTATGTAAGCAAAGCAAGGGTTTTTTCGGAAGTTAGAACCTACAATGGCACTCGGCAGTTAAGCAGTGAGGCGCAGGAGGGCCCACGCGGTGTAATTGTAGATTATCCCTCACATTGCTGATGGGGGTGGTATTGTTAGAATGCCCAAAGCAGACGCTTCCTGGTACGGGTCGTAGGCAAGGGGAATACCATGAGAATCAGAGCTTCCAGTCGCTCCGCTCCACCTCGCAATTCGTTACTCCAAGATCAAGCCTTGTAGCTTCGACCCTCCGCTTTCCAATAGTTCCAGGGCCTCACCATCTTTGAAGCCATGCACGTACGCTGTTCCGATGAAGCGATAATAGTTATCTCTCTCGATATACCGAAGGATTGCAAGTCCCGGTAGATCCGGGATAATCCAAATAGAGTCACCAACTTGAAGATTCATTGCACCTCTTCCCAGGAATTGTTCTTTATGCGCAAAAGACGACCAGTTTAGGACACCACAACCGTAAATAATCATGAGCATGGCTCAAGACGCCTTTACATATTTTCGACAGTGGCTGTCCCATCTAGACATGAGAAACCGTATATCTTCCTAGCTTGGTAGTAAGTCAGTCGAGCCGTTTTCGATGAGAGTGCTGATGTTGCTTAAGGCCTTTCAACGTCACCTAGCGCGTCTTGCCGTTGACCCAGGCTAGCTTAACTTCAGCACGTAAAGCTTCCATCATTTGCATGTTGACAAACACCTCAAAACAAACACGATGGCTCCTAGAGGTGGCATTAAAATGGCATCTTATCACTTCTTAGAAGGCATTCATCCTAAACTCACCCGCGGTATATTTTTGTTCAAGGCGTGGTATGATACCCATATATCGGAAAAGTGGACGTTTTAGGGAAAATATTCCAGGTTCGGGTTTGAATGATTTACCTGCCTCTACTATTTAGTCTGAACTAAACCCAATCGTTCCAAGAAGCCCTAGATTTATCGAAAAGCGTACTTTACCCCACAGCCCCTTGGCAAATTCGCTTTTTGTGAACCGCGCGGATATGGATATACTTTTGCCATGGTCTAGAACCTAGTATGGGAGGTTATAGAGAGGACAAGTGGATCTCTCGTTAACACCAGTCAATCAGACCTTTGAGTTCCTTGCTAAATTTACTAATAGCACGCGGATAGACTTCTTTGATTGAGAGCCTATAGTCTGGGTGGAGGCATTAAATCCCGTCCCCAGACCCAAGGCCTAATAGAGCGAATATGTTGTCCCCATGATCGGTAGTGTTGGAGCAGCGAAGAATTGGAAACAAAACTTGTGGTACTGCCCTCGGCAGGGTGGGGCTCTCTGGTGCTGTTTATCCTATTTGAATTGCTAGCGCGTGTTTTTAGGTCCAAGATCGGACTTCCTTCCCCACCGAGGATTTCTTTGGATATCCATATTGGAATGCTTCCAGAAGCGTAAGTTATATGGCCCCCTGGAATGTGGTGACTGCCGTAGAGGACCAGAAGCCGTTTAGCCACTGCGGCCTCTTGAGTCGCCTCTACCCAATTAAACTTCTTCCCTAAGTGATAATTGAATCAATGCCTCTCAGTGACGTTTAGATCTGCTGTAATGGTCGTGGGGAAGGGGATTCTCCCTGTAAATATTCAGAAACATGTTCCAAATCTTCATACTACAAAACTCTAAGGGCTTCCTTAAAAAACTCATCAATGTGCTCCGAAAGCCCTAATGCATGGGCTATTTCATCGCTATCTTGTCCTAGATAGATTATTGTGCGTTGAGCAAAGGCGAAGAGATATATCATGATACCAACTTGGTTACTCTGTCCGTTAATACAGATTGCGTCGATCAAAATGTAGTCTTCTGCTATAGGGTAATAAGGGCTTGCAAGCCCGTGGGACCAGTTAGTAGAGACACCTTTTTGTGAATATGGGTATCACGGAGGCGAGACCGATGCAGCTCTCCCAGGAAGTCGAGTAGATTCTGCGTTATTAGAAGTGATTATTCGTTGCAAAGGATCGGGCAGCATTGGTTTGCGGTAACACCTCTCTTCGTTACTTTAATACCTAGAGAACCCCAAGAGTAAGACAGTGCCTAGCAAGCCAGTGCAGCATCCAAGTTTGTAACTGGAAGGACGCATTACGGGACATCATATTCGTTTCCGTCTAGAACTCGCATAAGCTATATGGAGCGTTCCAACGGTGGTGGGGAGTATTGATACTTAGGAGTCAGTGCTTGAGGCCCATGGACCTCCATTTCCCCTAGAGTAGAATTCCAACCTTATGTGTTCTTCGCAGTCCCCGGAACGAAAGCGGGAGATTGTATGTTATGCGGAACTTGTGCTAGTGAAACACTATCTTTTGTCCGCAGCTAATGTAGTTAGCCTCAAACCGAGAGGCCTTAGGTAGGCTTTACTAAACAAGCCTGTTAAATGAACGCGGTGAAGGGACCTTTCTTTGAATGGGAACGTGGTAAATACACGTGCGTAAGAACTGGGAGTTTCGCTGGTGTATAAAAGCAGGTAGGTTGGGGTTTGCCGAAGTGGACGTGCTCTAGACAAGCACAGCCATAAACGCCAAGGCAGCCACAGGCAGCCACAGAGCAATCTCTGTACAACGTCAACAGCAGACACATTTTCCTGCATCAAGAAAAACTTCCATTATAAAAATTCTTTATTAACGCTTGTGATTAATAATCAAGCAACAAGCTCAGATGGTGTAGTTGGTTATCACGTCAGTCGTGAGTGGATCCTCATCTTAACATTGAAAATTTTCAACAGTACTAACTAGTCTTCCAGTAACACACTGAAGGTCCTGAGTTCAAGTCTCGGTCTGAGTACAGCTTCATTTTTTTGACCTCCTAGGGTCTCTACCCCCCTTTTTTAGACCTATTAATGGGATGAAATGGCATTGAGGCTGCCAATTCTTCACCGCTCAAGGACGCACGAGCAGCCCTTTCGGGGCCACAATTTTTTCCTGTCGTCAGACTCCCCTCAAGTGGGATTGCATTTCAGCTACTCTTCTAAACACTTCCAATTATTAACCGTCCGCTCTTGCTATTATGAGCCATGAATGGCCTGCTGAAGCCATCACCTTTGCGCTAATACTCCTTTTTAGATGTTTAAGTTAGAGGCGGTGCGCAAACTAGTCGATGGTTTCGTGCCTTCCAAGTAAAATTGCGAATCTTGAGATTAACGCCGCCAGAACAGACATTCCTCCAGAAAAGTTAATGTTAGTCCAGTACTTCGTTCCGTGGACCAAGTCCAGCAATCTGAACAAGTAATGTTTGGTAATCATGAAAGCAGCGGCAGCAATACCAGGCGCAATTGGGACCAAGTTCCCTGTCAAGAACACGACCTGCTTCAACGGTCTCCATGGTAGTGTTTTACAGGTCGTTGTTTTTATCCATCCCTGTACATGACAACCTGGAAACTTGAAGGAGAAGATACGTGAATGCAAGACGGCTACAACGGCCGCTGTGTCCCTGTCCCTATAGCTAGGGCTCCAGAAGTCCCTTCCTACAAAGAAAAGCACGATGGCCGTGGCCCTCAATCGAGCCCCCGGCAACCACATCCTAACTCATCTAAGTATATGCCTATCTCTCCCCCGGCTGTTCGCGTAGATACGATTCATTACTGTTGTTAGAGAGCCACAACCGCGAACGGCACTTGGCAGATTTCTTTGAATCCTACGAACTTCGGTACAGGGAATTCTTCGAGTGTCCAGCAATTGGACGCTCCCGTGTTAGTGAACGTGGGTTTTACTCGGCAGATGAGCTGGAGCGACACTTGTGCGACACGCATGATCTCAGGCCGTGCACGTTATCGCCGCATCCAATGGTGTTTCGTATTAACCGTTGAGTGAGACGTGTCTTTCTTTCGAAGGCTACCGTGACTTGAGGCATATTGAAGTTAATATTGATGGGATTTCCAGCATGAATTATGGGTACTATTTCGGTTACAATGACTATTTCAAGTAGGCCTCATTCCCAGGCGCTTATGGCTCACTGGTTACCCTGGTTCTTAACTGCAGGATGCTAATATCGGGTGATTGAGCAGTAACGACTTCAATGGAGACATTTCAATGCACCATTAGCTTTCATCACCTCATAATTATTTACCCGGAGAAGTTGGGTGCCACATTAGGAAGCTGTGAAGGCACGTTTATGAAGGCGATTGAAACCGCTGATTCCCAGCGAAACTGAACACTCGTCGTGGTTGGCTTCGTTATTGGGTTCCATACACTTGGTATCTTTCCCCATATTTGGTTAGCGAAAGGCTTGAAACATTAAAAGCCGGTGATAGTATGTTTGAAGTGGTGCACGTCCCAGGACCAGGTCTCGGGGGGTTGTTCTAGGGTCTCTGCGTTGTCTTTAGATCCAATCGCAATAATATTAAGGACTTTTCGCTTGAGGGCTGGATGATATATTGAAGTTATTTGGGCATGCGTAGCTGTGATTCATGTCTAACTGAGATATTAGCTTTAAAAATTGTTAATATTTTCCGAACTTGGTCTGAGACTTAGCCGAGCGCTTTTCTACGCCCTAGTTCTGTGGTAGTGCTTGCTGCAAAATTGCAAAAATTGCCCTATTTCTTTGTCTGTAACCCTCCAATTCCTCCGCACATCTATTTCGCACGTCTCTGTAAGCTGTTGTGATGGTGGACTATAGGTCGCAAGCTTCTGCGTCTGTGTAGAGCTTGGCGGGTACCTAGTATTCTGCCGTGTGTGCGAGCATGACAAAGCTTGGGGGTACAGTAAGCCCGTGCACGAAGCTCTGCACGGAGCTCTTCCAAACCTCTGCGTGCGAAGTCTCTGCAGGAAACTCTTTACGAAGCTCATAAGCTCTCTTAGCACGCAGCACTAACATACTAGGAAGTCTCTTAAAATACTCAATGTTCTACTCGAAGCTTTCCACAAAGCTCAAAAGCTTTATTAATATGCAGTACTAACATATTAGGAAGCTCTTGTAATCGCTGGTACGATGTTCTGTATAAGGGGGCTCTGCACGAGGCGCTGCATAGGAAGGCTCTGCATGAAGTTCTGCACGGAGCTCTATATCGGAAGGAGCTATGAAGCAAGGAGCCGCGTAGCGTGATGTAGGTATTACATTTGCAAAGTAAATTGATGCCTACTAGCCACCGCACTGATCAAGGAAAATAATAGCTGGTCGCAATAAGTCAAGTATTCAATATACGCCGCATAACAGAAGGACGTCATGAAGGATCAGCAGTCTTACCCGCATCGAGGATAGACACCGGAACCCTATTCTTCGTCAAGCAAAGAAACCTCACTAACGCGAGCCACCACATCGCACCAACATCTTGCACGCCAAGTTAACTAGTAGCGCGATGAAATAACGCCACATCCAACCATCCATAGAGAAAATATGTGAGACGGAAATCCCGAATTAGGCAGCGCTGGCGAAGAATGTCGATGCCCAGCTGAAAGATCCCTATCGAACAAGTAATGAGCCGGTTGAGTAGGTATAGACTTAAAGAAGATAGTTATGGGAATCATTTCCTAAAACTTAGTTGCAATTTTAACCTCTTATAACGGCAGCATGGACGAAAAGCTGTCCGCCCGAGTACTAATTGTATCTTTATGGGTCACAAGGCCACTGGTCAGCCTCATTTCATATCCTCAGCTGTCAGCCTAGCTGCACGTCATGATCTCTTCAGCCTTGTCGTATTTTATTAGCTCCTCCTCATTCCCCCCAGGAATTCACGCCTCAATCATCCTTACTTCTAAACACTCCATGTTTACGATCTCCGAATCTTATTCATAGTATAAAAGCTCTCAAAATCCCGTTACAATGCCTAAATTACCCCGTAGGGTTACCGTAGAAGAATATTTCTCGGACAATACCGGCGGGAAAGAAGAGCGGAAATATGCACAGAGACGGGTAAGAGAGGAACTTGAGAGAGGAAAGTCTCAGGAAGGAAATGAAGAGAAGGGGAACAGCGATTGGAAAAAGGCGGCATTTCAAGACCTGTGTACCGGAAGGAGAAGCCTCGCCGACACCTTTATTGACGTTGGAACACGAACATGTCAGGTTGCATGTAACAGAATCATGGAACGAGCTCCAGTCATATCTGCGCTTGATTTTGAACGTGCGATCGCCAAAGTAATCCCTCCAACAATCAATGGTCGCTCCAGCAAAGGCGGCTTCAAGACCCAGGAGTTTGTCCGTATCACAGAGCTTTTAGACCGCTTCGGGAAAATTGCTTGGGGCTATCGACCGAGGACATACACCATACTGCGTATGCTGGGCTGTCCAAACGCTATGAATGGTTTCGTCGCGGAGAATCTTACAGACATTTCGCTTCCATATACGGAGCGAAATCTCCCTCATTCTATCAAAGGCGAGGAGCAAAGAGCTAGATTTCTTTCTTTACAGAAAGTTGTACTAAATCAGGAAATTGCCGATCTTGAAAAGGAAGGAGGACCTCACCGTCACTTCATTCGGAGTGCAGACGAACACTTTCCAAGCCTCAAACAGCTCGGTACGGGTGGCTTTGGTAAAGTTGATGCGGTGTGGAGCAGGTTGAGTCTGGAAGTCTATGCTCGGAAACGTATTGAAAGGGGCCGTTCATTTGCGCGAGACAGAGTGGCAATCAAGATATTCGAAAATGAGCTGGAAATTCTGAAAAAAATTAAACTATCGACATCTTGTGAAGCTTGTGGGCTCCTATACCGACCCACAATACGTAGGTCTAATCATGCGGCCCGTTGCTGATAGGGACCTTGCCGCATACTTCGCTTGGGGAGAACCTGAGGAGCGGAAACTCTGTCTTCGAACCTTCTTTGGCTGCCTCGCCAATGCCGTTCTTTACCTTCACGAGAACAAGTTTAGACACAAAGACATTAAACCTGCCAATATCCTTATTAGGGGCACTGAGGTTTATCTTACCGATTTCGGAACCTCTAGAAACTGGAGCGATGAAACGAGAGGTACAACTAGTGGAGAGATCGCTCCTTTTACGCCTCGATACTGTGCACCAGAAGTCGCAGGACATGATGTAAGCCGCTTTTTCATGATGAACCCCGCCTTCTAAATATATACGCCTCATTGTTTGGCTACTTATTAACGTTGGCATACAGCCACGAGGACGTCCAAGCGACATCTGGGCACTCGGGTGCGTTTTCGTTGAGATGGCTTCGGTTCTAAACAACCGCACTATGCAGGAAATGAGGGATTTTTTTGCAGAGCACGGCACAGGAGAATCTGCTGTGCGGACTAATCCAGAGGCAACCGAGATGTGGCTCCGAGATTTAGCAGCACATGCATGTCCGAAGGCTGATGCAGCCCCTCTAGAGTTGATCGCTTGGATGACAAAACCTCGTCCGCTTGACCGTCCGGTTGCTCGTCAGGTTGTCGATCAGATCCTCATTTTAAATTCCCCATGCCCATTTTACGGTACATGTTGCAGTGATGATCGGACAGAAACATCGTACGAGGGGTCAGTGAGTTCTGATACCGAGGATCTTGACCTCCTAGAAACCCTGAGGCGGTCGCTCGAGAGTGATGAAGCTTCCGGAGCGGCTAAAAGAGAGATCTTGGATGATTATCTTAGGATGGAACCAAACGCTCTTCTGGAAGATATAACTGTCACCCAATCCACCGCCCAATCACTCCGTAATTCACAAAGCCATAGATTACGAGATTTTGCTGCCGATACCGTTAACAATGGTATTGTGGGCACAGATGGCAGTGCGGCTAATACCCCTAATCACCAAGGACCGGACCCCGTGTCAAATAGCGAAGCAATTGCTGCAGATATCACCGCGTCGCGCCCGTCAATGGTCGGAGATCAAAAACATTCGGAACCGCTGGAAAGA